GGCGGTCTTTACCCTCGTGGCATCTGCTACTGCCGTCGCGCCACTGGAGTCCGTAGGCGCTGGGTTGGTTTCACTACAAAGCTGACGAAGAATGACGCTTCCGATTCCTTGTTCTATCTTTTGCGCGCGGTCAAAGGCCGTCAACCATAGGTCCTTGTAAGTGGCGTAAAGATCGTACCTGTTCAAATCCAAGAGGGATTCCCCGGCGAACTTAACCCGCATCTTAGAGACAAGGTTTCTACCTACGTTATTGACTGCATAGCGCTTGTCCTTGGTGCTTGGTTGTATTGCTAAGTCAAACCTTAAAGCCAAGGTGCCAGGAACCAATACCAGGTTATCTGTTAGACGGGGTACGCCTACGTACAAGGTTTCCCCTGGTTTTGCGCTGCTGGGGGTAAAGGTGACCCGGTGAAAGGTGCGTTCTGCCTTTAGTCCGCCAACCTGCTTAGGTAATACGTTGGGGTTTAACTTTGAGCTTATCATATATAATGGAAGTAGAAGGAACGGATTTTGACCCCACCACCGAAGAAGGCCAAGTCGATATTAACGATGAAGAATTCGACGCATGGACCCAAGGCGCGGAAACCGACCCCCTAATCTACGACATGGCCCTAGAAAACAAGTATGGTAGTAGGTGGAAAAGCTTCAAGGCCTCCCTAAATCGCATGTGGCAATCAAAGAACCGCGGCAGGCTTGTCCCCGAGTACTTGGAACTTCAAAATATAGACGAACAGGAGGCTAGCGCGCGGGAAACCGTAGAGTGGGCAACGCAAGAGCTAAGGCAACGCTATCCCCGTTTCGAGGCTGACGACATAAGGCTCCCAGAACGCGGAAACAAAGTCCTCATAAGCGTCAGAGACATGAGGCATGCTGGGGCCAACAGTTGGACCAAACCACAAGTCCTCTTCGATGATACTGGCTCGGTCAAGGTTAACGTGGCAAGACTAAGGGGCTTCCAAGAGGCTACCAGAAGTGCGTTAGAAAGGTTGGAAACCTTGAACGAAAGGGTTGCGTTAGAAAGACATGTCGAGGGGCTACAAGAAACGTTGGAAGAAAGGGAAGCAGATTACATGAGACAAAACCGACTACTCCTTGATGCTCCCAAGAGAGAAATCGACGATAAAAATCAGCTAATCGTACAGATGAGAGAACAAAGAGATAATGCCCTGCGTGAAGTAAATCAAGCCAGAAAGGCCTTTGATCTTGCCCTGCAAGACCTGAACATGAGCAAGGAAGAAGCCAAAAACTTGCATATCACCATAGCCGGCTCTTTGGAGGAACGGCGGCAGTTGGTTGCCGAAATTAACACCAAAGAAGGACAACTTCGTCAAATGGCTCAGGCTATCGAAGACCTTGAGAGGCAAGTGGAGCGGCAGAAGGAAATCATCGCTGACCAAACTCGTCCCGCAGAGGAAATAGAGGCAGCCCAAAAGAAACTGGAAACCCTCGAGGTGCGCCTTGCGGAATTGCGGGCGCAACAGGAAAACGTGGAGCGGGAGTTGGGGTTTACTACTAAGGAAAAGGTAAAAAGAGCCCTTTTGAAGTATGACGTACCGTTAGCATTTGCAGTTGCTATTTCAAGTGTGTTGGGATACGTCCTCTACGCGCTCAAGGCCACGGGCGCAGGCGTAAGCAAGTTAGGTAAAGGATTGACCAACTTAGGAAAAAAGATGGCAGCCAGCATCCCGGGGCTGTTGGGATCTGTCATTTCCTTCGCACTTAGGACCGGCGGAGAACTGTTGAAGTTCTTGGGGAATAACATTTGGATCTTGGTAGTAGCTATTGGGGTGGTCCTCCTGAAGAAGGTGAAGGGTTAATCTTGTCCTTCTCATCGGGCGGCATCCTCGACTGGGGATAATGAAAGACAGTACTAGCGCCGCCCTGGTAATTCGGAACCAACGGTAACACGCTCATGGTAGAAATGGGTTTATGACTCCAGACTGCATTAGCAGGCCTGCGACCTACGCGATTTATCCCAAACTTACCATCATCAGAAGTGACTTGCAACTTAGCATATTTACAATTGGCTAGCATATGAAAAGTCACTGGTGTTAGGTCTTCAGGGGACCTAGTGTAGGGCTCCATCGAAAAATGGGTAACTTTCCTAGTGTTCGTTGAAGTTCGATAAGGAAGCAGGGGCTTATTATTTTCATCGATAAGTCTAAACCCCACATTCGCATGCGTGTTCGCATTAATGCTAATAGTGCAAATGACCAATGCAGTGCCCCCAACTTCAGCCCACATTCCAACGTCATGCCAGGCAACGTCGTCATATCCTTCTTCATCTAAGCGATGGGCATAGCGCGTTTCCCTTACGTATGGATTCATATATTTAAAGGCTCATCACCGTCAAAGTGCTGATGGTCATGTGGTTATAGATAGTATTCCTTCGATTTTCTATGCTATTTATGCAAACGCTCCCAGTGTCATCTACGCGTATTTGCAGCTTTACTTTCCCGTGGCAGTCGGCAACTAGGTGAAAAGTCCAAACGGAAAGATTCTC